AGATCCTCACCCCTCTTCATGTGGAAAAACATAAAATTGTATCTCTCTAAGACAATACACAAAAATAATCCCAAACAATTCTCCTTCTAGCAACTGCATCTACTGAAATAGTCACACAATATATTAAGATACATAGAAAATAATAGTCATTAGCACAGTACTATTGACCAACAGCAGAAAATGGTGGTTGTGACAATTGTCACTATGGATTGATGACATGTGTCTAGCTCCTCTTGAAGCTTGTCATTTGTTACGATAATAATCCTATGGGATGAACATTGCTTCATTTCAAGACAGGGAAACAGTGTCAGGGAGACTTTCTGTCACTAGCCAAGGTTTCATACCTGGGTTTCAACTTTGGACATCCGGCTACCAAGCTGATACTCTTACTGCTTCATATGCATTTCCATCATCCATTCTTTCATGCAAATAATATTTATTGAGAATAATCATGCTCTTAGGGTGGCACTGTGCTAAGCACTAGCCACACAATGAACAAAACAGGCAGGATCCCTACCCTCACTGGCATTACAGCCTAAAGGAGGACACAGAAAAATGCAGAGTGCAAACTATGAATAGAGCAAGAAGAAAGCTACTCAGTGTTTTTTTTCTAGTGAGGCAGAGAGATACAGCCAGCCACACACGACTTTGAGCTATAAGAAAATCAGCTTAGGGGTCCCACAACCAATATCATTCAAAGGTGGAACAGATCTCTTCCAATAAATAAAGAAGACACAGGCAGCCAAAAATAGATCCATTCCTTTCAGGGACTTCTTCTTTTCCCTTTTGTAAAGAAAAACTCCAGGAGCTGGAGACCGGGAGCTCTTGGACTTGCTGGAACCACTCCTTGTCTTTACATGTTTTTCACTTATATCTTACATGTTTTTCACTTATATCACTTAAATCTATCTTTTCACTATTACCACTCTGTGTCTTGCTCAGTTCTTTGTTGAAGACACAAAATAAACAAACAAAAAACAAACAAGCCTTGGCCATTGTGTCACAGGACCCTGGGACCCTCACTGTAATTTCAGAAACCAATAAATAGATCACATGAGGAAATCCATGGTTAAAGGAAGCGTAAGATGACAACAGCCCAGATCTTATGGAGGGATTGGTTGAAGCAGAAGCCCCTCATCCTTTGACCGTGTGTGTGTGTGTGTGTGTGTGTGTGTGTGTGTGTGTGTGTGGGTGTGTGTAAAAAGGAACCATTTGTACAATGACCCTGCTGCAGCGAGGAGTATGCTGTAATACCACACCAGTCACTATAAGCACCATTTTAAACTCCTGACCTGATAGGAGAGTAGGAACTGAAATGTTACATACTTCCCAGGAAATGGGACCCAAGGCTACTTTTACCAGGATGCAATTTATTGAACCAGCTTCTATTGGATTATAACCCCCAAACTTGAGAGCCTTTATACAGTTTTTGGCTTCTCTGTCTTCTATATATGCTTACATAAATTCTATGCGGATGCTTTAAACTGCTAAGCAGTAATGGCTAGAATGAGAAGGGGGCGGGGGAGAGGGCTGCAGAAGACACACGGTCAGTTCACACGTCCATGCAGGACTACTGACCGGCCTGCACTTGAACACACCAGGCAGGTTCCCCCCCCCCCCCCCCGCCACCACACACAAAGATATATATATAAAGGAAATATATATCTTTTAAAACTACAAAAAAACCTGTGAAACTGCTTCCATGTTAGAACATTTTGGGGTTCCCAGGCCATGGCCACTCCTAATGGCTCCAGAATAAAACTCTTTTCTTATTCTCCTTAAGATGAGAGGGAGGCCTACGTAAGAACATATACACTGCATGGTACATGCTTTTTGGACCCTTTCCATTGTTCTCTAGCCTGCTTCTATTCCTGGGAGTGCTTTTCCTTTCTTAATAAGCTGTCTATTTCTATTCCATGACTAATTTAAAAGGCATGAGTTTTTTTTTTTTTTTTCCTCTACCCCTCCTCTCAGTAGCTGCTGGGATTTTCAATTAACCTGTACTATGTTTTCCTCTTAAACTCTGATGAAATTGTCCTTGAATTTTCTTCTGAGTCTATTTCTATGTTATTTTATTAACGAGGCTAAGAATCCCCCCAAGGAATTTAGTTTCCCTGGTAACACTAACTTCAGAGAAACCTATACTTGCCATCCCTTTTTCCACCTCCGCGCCAAAGGATCCTGGAACTTGGGAGGGTACAGGGTTGGGTTGGCCAGGAGTCCAAGCCTCTGGGGAATGGGAGGAAAGGAAGAACATGCACATACCAGTTACTGGGCTGGGGCTTGCTCAACATTCTCTCCATGGAAATAACACTGTTGGATGTAAATCCCTGCAGAATGGAAATGATATCATCTGGTCTAGTGGGAGCCACTCTTGTGACCAAACCTTCAAACACACACTCTTCCAGAAAGGAGAGGCAAAGGCACAAACACTGATGTTACCTGTCTTAGGGTCTCAGCCTATGACTAACACACAAGTTTAATCCATTCATCCTCAACAAGCAAATTAAAATGGAAAATTCATAGTGAAAAGCAGAAAAGGGAAATTGACTCCATGTGACCACACTGGGAAGAGGAACAGAGACCTCCCTGCTTCAAGTCCATCTTCAGGGGTCCTGAAGTGAGGTTAAGGCTGAAGCAGAGGACCAGAGTTAACACATCTGAGTAGTCCTGGTCAAGGTGTGATCCCATCCACTATTGACTCACCATTGCCTCTCCTGTAAAAGAGATGGAACAGTTGTAAAACTCTTTCAGAAGAAAAGTCTCCCCCTTGGCTGGCTCGGGCTTTAGGCTTTGTCTTCTCTCGGCATGAGATTCCTGGGGCAGTTCAGTCTCTCACAGGAGGCCATGTCTGACATTGTATGACAGCAAAGTGAAGGACAGAAGCGTCTCCAGAATATCTTCTTCTCTGTCACACAGATTTCAAAGGTGCTATGCCAAGGTATGGACGGATAGGCACAGGGTCTGGCTGCCTCTCAGAGTTTAGACACAGTCCTGTTCCCAGCCATTCAGACCTAGACACACTCGTTCATTCACTCTATGAGCTCTCAGCAGGTGCAGTGGACTTGGATAACTCCAATAGACTGAACTCCTTTTTAGAATAAGGGGCAATGCATATAAACAAATGTAACATAACAGGGCAAGAAAGTATACACTACAGAAAGGTCAGATTCTCTGTTAAATTTTATAAATATAACCATATAAAAGCCAAAGTTCCATAAATGATAAGAGAACTGGAAAGACATATTTTAAGTGCAATTTAAGCATTGAACTATATGGGATTTTCCTCTACTTTTTTATATTTCCCAAAGTTCTGAAATAATCATAGACTACATTTGTGTTGGCAAGGTAACAAGTTCAATTTTAACTTATTAACTCATTAATTCAATAGCTGGTTATTGAGCACTATTGCCCCAGGCAGTTCTAGGCACAACAATGATTGTGGTTTTTTTTTTTTTTTTTTTTTTTTTTTTTTTTTTATGTCAAGATCCAGGAAGTCCCATACAGCTGAGGCAAAGGGAGAGTGAAGACCTGGGTTAGAATCATGAAGGCCGTACAAGTTTACATTCCCACCAACAATGGAGGAGGTCTCCCTTTTCTCTACATCCTCTCCAGAATGAGCTGTCACTTATGTTTTTATCCTGACAGGTATAAGATGGAATCTCAGATTTGCTCTGATGGCTATGGTTGTTGAACATCTTCTTAAGTGTTTCTCGGCCATTTGGGATTCTTCTGTTGAGAATTCTCTATTTAGGTACCCTGTATTTTTGTTTTTGTTTTGTTTTTCGAGGCAGGGTTTCTCTGTGCAGCTTTAGCTTTAGACCAGGTTGGCTTCAAACTCACAGAGATCTGCTTGCCTTTGCCTCCTGAGTGTTAGAATTAAAGGCATGTGCTACCACCACCTGGCTCTATACCCCTTTTTAAATTGCATTAAATATCAGAGAACTCACATGTGACTAACCTAGGCACTCTGCATATATGTGACAGATGTGTAGCTTGGTTTTCTTGTGGGACTCCACAGTGGGGGAAGGGGCTGTCTCTTTGGGAACATATTCCTCATAATGGGCCACCTTGCCCAGCCTTAATACAAGGGGTGATTCTTAGTCTTACTGCCATGTTTTGTTGATATCCATGGGAGGCTTGTCCTTTCCTGAATAGAAATGGAGGAAGAGTGGATAGGAGGGTGGGGTGGGATGGACTGGGAGTAGAGGAGGGAGGGAGAATTGAGGCTGCAATGTTAAATAAACAAACAAACAAATAAATAAAATAATCATAAGGCCCTATTAAGCATGAAAAGATCATGGGTATTATTCTTAATGGGATTAAATAAAACACTAAGAAAAAGCTAAATACTTTTGCAGGAAAGACAGCAAGAAAGTTCCTAACTGCATGGTTTCTGCTGATATGGGAATTTCAGGGTGTCTTTAAAAAAAAAAAATCAGGGTCTCACTGTGTAGCCATGTAGTGGGCTACTGAACTATAGCTATGTCATCTCATGAAAGATTTCCTAAGAATACTTTAAGTACTAAAACTATCTTGGGTAAAACTGGTCTCTGGTCACTTAGACCAGCCATAAATTTGCCATAAATTCCTAAGGTAAAATGGTCTCTGAACCAACCAAATTCCTATACAATGAAGGTTACAGGAACAGCCTGACCAGTTAACTGCAATCTCTCTGCTTCTGTGAACAACGCTTGCTTGCTGTAGATGTCCAGAGCTGCCTTTCTATATACATCACAATTGTGGTCCTTGCTGTTAAAAACTTAACAAACTGGAGGTCAAGGCTGCTTCCCACTACTCTGCTTGGGACAGCCCAACTGGAGGCAAAAATAAAGATCACATAACAGCCAAAGCCAGCCTGGAAATCTTTATAGAGACCAGAATGGTCTTGAACTCACAGGGATCCTCCTTCCTCTGCCTCTCCAGTGCTGGAGCGAAGGCTTGCTCCTCTACACCTTGCTGGGATGTCTTTGAGAGCAAAATGAACAGACCACCAAGGGTGAGTTCTACAGAGAAATTTATTATATAGTGGTACCTTAAAAGAAAAAGAGAGATAGTAAGAAGGGTTCTGGGAAATAGGTTTGAACTGTTACACTGGGGTGACTTATGAGAGGCGGATGAGCTGTTCAGCTCAGTTACCCATCCAGGTGTCTGGGTGCCTCCTCTCAGTTTCATCCTCACGGTGGATTTTCAGAGGTCTTCATCTAGAGGAGGTAACAGACTCAGACTCTTCCGACATCCTTGGGTTTGCTGCTTTGGAATCCCTGCTCTTCCTGGTCAGCTTCTAATGCCTGCTCTCATCATGCTTCCTGCAGTGAAGACAAGCCTAAAGTCACTTAGGAATCAGAGTTGGTATCAGAGCCCCAAAGATTCCTGGCACTTCTATCCTACAGCTAGGACAGGACCAAGGGCATTTTCAGCAGATGTCCAAGAACGTGACTCAAGGTCCCAGCCCTAAACTTTCTGAACCATCTTTGTCTCATGTTCCTGCCTCTGAAGAGGTAGAGCCATAAATTACCTTCAGGAATTGGAGCAATGGCCAAATCTGGCTTCTTCCTGCAGGTTGGAGTCACTGGGTATGGCAGTCCTGGTACCCCTCCAGTGCATCTAGGAGACTATCTAGGGAATGTTAAGATTATATTGGTGGTGCCATTAGTAATACAGCCAAGTGTAGAGAGGAAAAAACAAACCTTGGCTGGTCCCTAAATAGAGATATGAGGGAGAAGCAAAGACAAGTGTTAGTGGCATTACAAGTCCAAGGCAGAGAACCAGAGGAAGCCGGAGCTTTTTAAAGGTCTGAATTAAAGTATGGTGATATGATTTTTATGATTTATTAAAGCTTGCCTGATGATCCAGAAAGCAAAGTCAGCCACAAGCAATAGAGGTCAGGCAGTGGTGGAACACACCTTTAATCCCAGGGGGAGACAAAGGCGGATGGATCTCTGTGAGTTCAAGGCTACCCAGGCCTGCACAAGATTGAATCAGTCTAAAAGAGTAACAGAGCTCACGCCTTTAATTCCAGGACTCGTGAGAGGTATTTAAGGCAGGAACAGGGTCTCAGAGCTGGCATTCCTTCTCCAGACATACCGAAGATAGGAAGTCTCAGGATTCTCCAGCCTTGTTGAGGACAGCATAGCAAGTCTGGGATTTCAGTCTGAGCTTTAGTGGAGCCAGGATCACCTTACAGCATGTCTCACTCAGCTGCAGGTCCCATGCAGACACTAAGATACCGAAATTGAGCCAACATCATGATGTCCTATATCTGGGAAGCATAAGTTCAGATTTAGTGGCCTGAAGCCTAGTAACAGAATATAGTCTGGGTAGGCTCTTTCCCCCCCTCATTTAATCACATCAAGCTCTCCAGTACCCTGGAAATATTCCCAAGGGATGGATTGAGAGCCTTGATTTTAAATTAAAAAAAATAGCTGACTGTGGTGGCTAAAGTCTGTAAGCCAGAACTCAAGAGGCTGATGCAGGAGGAGGATTTCTATTAAGTATGAAGTCAACATCAACTACCAGAGAGAGTTCCAGGCCACCGTGTTTAGCCTTCCTGGCAGGAGCAAAGATACTGGAAAGTGACAAGGGATCCTTTCTTTGACTATCAAGCTACTGAAAACATGGCCTAAAAGAAACTGAAGTGCCCCCCAAGAGTCTTGTGCTGGGGAAAGGAAAAGACTGAACTTGGTACCAGCCAAAGAAGGAGCTTGTCTTCCAGGAAGAAATTTCACCATTCCGGTAACTTGTCTGGCCACTCTGCAGGAGAGACTGAAGCCTAGACAATGATGGGCCAAGGATGCAGAGTTATGCATACTCCCTTCCCTGTACTTAAACCCAAACCTCAAGTTAGGAACCTGAAGAATGATTGGGGAGGGGAGGACCCAGCGAACCTCTTTGTTCCTCACTTTTAGGTGATCGTATGATGTCAATCTCCCTTTACTGTGTTTCACTATGATTGGTTTCTTTAATTGGCCTATCTAGGACTGGTGGCCCCAAGCCCTAACTTTTTACAGGTTCCAGGATCTGGGGTTTGGTCCTAATGACTTCAAGAACACTTAAGGTACAAAAGGAGAGCCTTTCTCAGAACAGTAAGAACAACAACCAGGGAATGAGCATTCAAATACATGAGCTCACGGGGACTATTCCCATTCAAACCACCACACCTGGAAATTTCATAATTTTCCTTAATAGCTGAGTAATATTCCATTGTGTAAGCATACCACATTTCATTCTTTATCAGTGGATAGACATCTAGGCTGTTTCTGTTTCCTGGCTATAGTGAACAGAGCAGCAATGAACATGGCTTGCCAAGTATATCTATAGTAGGATTTATAGTGGATATTCCTAATAGCTGAATCATGTGTTACCTCTATTTTCAGCTTTTTTTTTTTTAAATGAACCTTCACACTGATTTCTGTAGTGGCTGACCAGTTTGCACTCCTACCATCATTGAATAAAGTGATTAAATGTCCCCTTTCCCCCATATACCTGCCACTATTTGTCTTTTTGCTTTTTTAATCTTAGCCATTCTGACTGGTGTAAGATAAATCTGAAAATAGTTTTAATTTGCATTTCCCTAATGGTTAAGGGTGTTGAACATTTCTAAAAAATGTTTCTCAGCCATTTGTATTCCAGCTTTTGAGAACTCTCTATATAGCTCCATCCCTCATTTTTAAAATAGATTGTTTTCTTGATTATTCTTTATATATTCTAGATATTAGCCCTTTATCTGTACACTTGGCAAAGTCCCCCCCCCCAGTGACAGTGTCCTCTGCTATACAGAACCTTTTTCATTTCATGAGGTCCCATTTATGGTTGGTCTGTATGCCTGTGCTGCCGGCATTCTGTTCAGAAAGTCTTGTGCCAACGAGTTCAAGTGTATTTCCTACTTTCTCCTCTATTCGAGTCAGGGCATCAGTTTTATATTGAGATCCTTGATCCATTTGAAGTTGAGTTTTGTGCAGGGCAAGAGACATAAAACTAGCCAGGACAATTTAGCTAAAGGTTTGGTGATATTGCTAATCTTTTCAAATAACTATGCTATGATAAGACACCATGACCAAAGCAACTCTCATTTTACAACTCTCTGGTCACGGAAGGAAGTCAAGTCAGGAACTCAGGCAGGAACCTGGAAGCAGGAATTAAAGCAGAGGCCATGAGGAAAGCTGCTTACTGGCTTGCTTCTTATGGCTTGTTTAGCCTGCTTAAGATTCGCATCAATCGTAATCAAGAAAATGCCCCACAGACTTGTCTACAGGCAATCTGCTGGAGGCATTTTCTCAATTAAAGTTCCTCTTCCTAGATAACTCTAGTTTGTGTTAAGTTGACAACACAACAAATTTAAGACAAATCAACTCTCTGTTTCATTGAGTCTTTATATTTGTTTGGTTGTTTCTTTCTATTTTATTAATTTCAGCCCTGACTGATGATCTCATACTGTCTATTTTTTGGGGTGTTCACTCTTCTTGCTTTCCTAAGGCCTTTGGGAGCATTATTAAGCTAGTAATTTGAGATCTCTCAAGTTTTCTGGTGTAGGAAGTTAGAACTGTAAATGGTTCACTTAGGGCTACCTTCATTATGTCCCATGGGTTTTCATTTGCTATTTTCATTTTCATTCAATTCTAGGAATTTTAAAAATTTCCTTCTTGATTTATTCCTGCACTCAATTTGGTTCAGCGGTGTGTTGTTGAGTTTTTATAAAATTGTGTTTTCTGTCTTTTCTTTTGTTGACAATACCCCGCTTTAGTTCATGTGGTCAGATAGAATGCTGACTGTGAATCACGTTCCCTGTATTTGTTGAGACTTATCTGTGTTCTCATGTGTGGTCTATATTTGGAGAAAGCCTCATGGGCTACTGAAAAGAATGTGTATTCTTCAGTGCTTGGGTCCACTAGATTTATGGCTATTTAACTCCACCATTTCTCTATTATAGATTTTTCTAGATGACCTGTTTATTATGAGAATAGGATACTGAAATCACCCACTATCACCGTGTTGGCACTGATCTGTGGTATCAAATGTAAGTGTGATTCTTTTATGAAATTGAGTACTTCTAAGTTTGGTGTATATATGTTTAAGATTGTAAAATCTTGGTTGGTGGATTTTTTTTCCTTTAATGACTATAAAATACACCTCCATCTCTTCTGATTAGGTTTGGTTTGAAGTTTATTTTACCAGGAAGTAGAATAGCTATGCCTGGTTGTTTCTTAGTTCCATATGCTTGGAATACCCTAAAGTGATGTCTTTAGCAGTAAAAAGATGAATCATGTTTTCTTATCCAATCTGTTAGCCTGTGTCTCTTCATTGAGAAGCTGAGATCATTAATGTTAAGGGTTACTACTGAATAGTATATATAATTCTTATTATTTTGTTATTTGTGGTATTCTACCAGACATTTTTAATTTGGTGATCTTGAGTTATTTATTTGTTCCTTGGGTATGCTCTCTTCAGACTTAACTATGCCTTCCAGTGTCCTCTGCACATTATCCTTAGTAGTTACACACCCCTTTAATCTGTTTTCATAAAGGAAATGTTTCCTTTCTACTTTGATAATGACTCATAGTTTTGGTGAGTACAGTAGTCTAGGATGGTATCTGTGATCTTTCGTAACTCATAGAACACCAGTCCAATCTTTTTGTCTTTCACAGTCTCCATTGAACATTGGCTCTTTGTCTGAGGGGCCTACAAGTATTTGTTCTTTCTTTCCTGCAGCTTTTAATATCCGTTGTGTGCCCTGTTTACAGTTCTGATTATTGTATCACGTGGGGAGTTTCCCTACCTGGAGAAGAAGCAGGTGTAAGACATGTGGCCTTTGTGGCATAGGTGGGTCTCCAGGATAGGTGGAGTTACTGGTGTAGGTCTAGTGCTCTTCCCAGGAGGGGAGTTGTCCTCAGGTCACATGTACTTGTGGAGTTTGTGGCATAAGTCCAATGTTTCTGTCTGGAGAAGATGCCAGCAAGAAGCCAGAAGCTCAGCTGTGAAAAGAAAACTCTGTTCTTCCTGGAAATCTCTTGTCTAAATTTCTTTTCTATTGCTGAAATCAGATACCATAACCAAAGTGACTTATAAAAGAAATGTTGGCCTTACGAATTCAGAAGGTTAGAGTCCATGAAGGCACAGCAATGGCATGGCAGCGGGAACAGCTGAGAGCTCACATCTTGATCTGCAAACAGAAGGCAGAGAAAGAAAGAGAAACACTGAGGATCACACAAGTCTTCTGAAACCTCAAAGCTCACCACCCCCCAGACACACTTCCTCAAACAAGGACACACCTCTAATCCTTCTCAAATAGTTCCACCAAGTGGGGACCAGGTATTCAAATATATGAACCATTGTCATTCAAACCACCACATCCCACCCCCTGGCCTCCATAGGCTCATGGCTATATCTTATCATAATGCAAAATGCATTTAGTTAACTTCAAAAGTTTCCATAGTTGTTTCACATAGTTTCACAGACTCAACACAGTTTAAAACTCCAAAGTCTCTTCTGAGACTCAAGGAAATCCAGGCTCTTAATTGTAATCCCCCAGGGAGAAAAAGCAAAATACACACATAACATACAAAGGAATGGCAACAGTGGGGACATACTGGACCAAAGAAAGAAAAAAACCCATCAGACAAAACTCCAAATCCTGTAGCTTTATGTTTGATGTCAAAGAGCTTAGACGGTTCTACCCTTTCATCTTTGCTGCCTACAACACACTTCTCTCCCCTGGGCTTGTTCCACTCTGTCTGCATCTCTTCTGAGCAGATGTCTCACAGCTTTGGCATCTCCAATATCTTGGGGTCTCCATTGCAACCCAGATTTTACTTTCATAGCTTCATTCGGTGCTCTCATAGGGCATTCATTCAGGGATTGCCCTGCTACACATTGCCTGGCCTCAGCAGCTCTCCTTAACCACACAGGAAGAGTCCACAACCCCTTTACCAGTGTATCCTCCATGTCTCTAAGGCCACAGCCATGTGGATGAAGATGCAAGGTACGGCTGCCTGCTTGGGATGGAACCATGACCTTTGAATTATTTTTGCAGAAATTTTCCTTTGTTGTTGCTTTTTAGGAGCAGAAAATTTCTCAGGTCTTTCTTTTTAAATTTGGAAGCTTAGCTGGGTGGAGTCTTGCCTTGACATCATGCTTTCCTTTTTTCCACTTTAGATCAGGTCCCTCTTCACTCTTCTTGCCTCTTTCAGCATAAGCCTTGGTTCCAACATTAAATTTCCTGTTTTTTTTTTTTCTCTTTAAAGTCTATATTTTGTACTTGTCCTCGCCCCCCATATTTTCTCCTTTTCATTATAGACCTGCATAAGAGGGATTACTAATGACCATTCGGCCATTCAATTTTAGATTTTCTTGAAATTCCCTCCACCAAGGACATTAATCCAATACCCTTCAATTTAAGACAAGGGCAGAAAACAGCCATATCATTGGCCAAAATATCACAAAAAATGGTCCCTAGTTCAGTATCATGATCCAATCTGTATTAGCCCCATGCTGCAGGTGCCATCTATTCCAGACTGATGTCTTTGGGGCTGTGATTGGAACCAGCCAAACAGCCCCGGGTCAGACCCAGAGTGGAGGAGTGTGGACACAGGATAGGCTAACTACCTCAAGGCATTAAGGACTAGACAGACACACCTGGTCATATCAGGAAGGCTCCCAGTCATTACTGAATGTCTCGGTTTATTGTTCCATCATGTTAAGTAACCATCCAAAGGTGGGGGCAATGACAGAAGACATCTATTATTCAGTATAAAGGGCTGATATGAAATATTCCCTTTAATCCTAGAGACACTCCTAAGTAGCACATACCCAAGCCCTCAGGCATCCCACACTAGCAAGTCTCACTAGCCCTTAGGGTGGGTATAGACTTGCCCTGGCTCAAGACTTTCGTTATACAGAAATAGGAGCCATGATTCCCCACCGAGGCCAGGCATCCAAACGGTAATCGGTGGATATCTGAAAGACAAAAGAAGTTTTGAGCTCTTAGAACTCATGGCTGGGCAGAACATATTTCTAAAATACTACATGGGCCCCAGCAGTTCAGTTACTAATCTGAAACCTCTTTAGCTGTGCCTCCACAGTCCATATAACTCTCAGCACTACTGTCTTCTAAGGTCCTATTAGGATGGCCCATTAGACTGTGTTTATAGTATTTAACTGCATTTCTAGTCCAGTGTACCAAAAGACTTCCAGATGCTCCCCCTCCCCCAAACAGCATCAGCAGGTCTGTCTGTCACAGAAACACCTCCACTCCCTGGTACCAACCTCTGTCTTAAATTACTTTTCAATTGCTGTGATAAGACACCATGACCAAGGCAACTTATTGAATAAAGGGTTTATTTGGGGTCTCACAGTTTCAGAAGGTTAAAGTTCAAGACCATCATGGCGGGGAGCATAGCAGCAGGCGGGCAAGCTGGTGCTGGAGCAGTGGCTGAGAGATTCTACCCTAATACACAACCATGAGGCAGAGAGAACTAACTGGGAATGTGTGGACTTTTGCAACCTCAAAGCCCACCCCTAAGGACACACCTCCTCCAACAAGGCCACCCCCCCCAATCCTTCCCAAACAGTTCCATCAACTGGGGACCAATCCTTCCCAAACAGTTCCATCGACTGGGGACCAAGTCTATCTCTCAGTCAGGAACTCTGGATCGTTGTTTTAGCAGGGCTTTTCCAATCATTTCTACCAGATGTTGCAAGCATCCCACTGGATGACACACTCTATCTATCTGCTGCTTGCTAGGTGCTCTTTCACTTGGATGCCTCACCTGGGGATGGGAGGGGGATTTGGAATGCTGTGTCACACCTGAAATCCAACTTCTTGTGAACTTGAGCTGGCTGCCTCATGGGGCTTCCCCCGTCATTTCTGATGGATGCTGTAGGCATCTAATTTGGTGATGTTTTGCTATCTATCTGTAACTTGCTGGGGACTTTTCGTTTTATTTTTGTTTGCTTCATGCTTAAGAAACTCACTCCACTCAAATCTAAAAGTACAGCTATTTTGGATCATTCTCTGGAAAGAACACCAGTGATGAAAAATAACTGAAATCAAACCACCAGATGGTTAATTGTCAATGTCATCAGATAATATTGTTCAGAGACAAGGAGTAAATTATCGAAATAAAAATTGAGTCATGCTGAGCATGGTAGCACATGCCTAAAAACCAGAATATGGGACGCTGAAGCAGGAGGACTGTGAGTTTCAGATGGGCCTGGGTTTCATAGTGAGACAGTCTCAAAACAAACAACAAAAATGGAGTCACTTGTGACAACCCTTCCAAAGAGGTTATGGAGAAATGGTTCTTATGTGTGGTTGCCTGACGATAACTGAATGACTTCTGACCGTGTTTCCTACTTATATTCTGTTTATAATATGTGCTTAAGACACATGCACATCTCACCTCAAGCATGAGGTGTGAAAACAGTGTGGGGAAATGTAACAGTCCCAGCAGGAAAGAGGACTATGCTAAAGAGACACTCACGCCCTTCTCTGTAACTATCATGTCACCGATGCAATGCACTTCAACGCATTGGAAATTCCCAAGAATCTCATGCTCAGAGATAGAAAAGTCTGGGAGCAGGCTGCCTGTCAGAAGGGCAGTTTGTTTCCTGCAAGGAGATTGCATGTAGTTCTGACAACCTGTCAGATCACCTTACAGGAGAGACTGCATCTCCAGACAATGATGGTGAGCAGGACCACGCCTTGATAGGGATGCTTAGCCATGCATATCTCTTGCTCTTTATTTCAGCTTAAGCCTCATGCTGAGACCCTGAAGGTGGATTTGGGATAGAGGCAGGCAGTGAGTCTCTTTGTTTCTCTTCATAATGTGGCCACATTGAAGAAATACCTTTGTTGTAAACACACACACACACACACACACACACACACACACACACACACACACACACACGGCATTAGAAAATTATACAACAACATACATTCAAGAACACTATAAATAAAGCAAGCTGGGTGTTCTGGTTGGCTTTTCTGTCAACTCAACACAAGCTGGAGGCTGGAGCTATCTGAGATGAGGGAACCACAACTGAGAAAATGCTTTCACAACACTGGACCAAGGCAAGCCAGTGGGGCATTTTCTTCATTAATGACTGGTGTAAAAGGGCCCATCACACTATGGGTGATATACACCCTGGGCAGTGACCCTGGAGAGAAAGCAGGCTGAGCAAGCCATGAGGAGCAAGCCAGTAAACAGCACCCCTCCATGGCCTCTGCATTAGCTCCTGCCTCCAGGTTCCTGCCTTGAGTTCTGGCCCTGACTTCTCTCAGTGATGGAGTGACCTGGAAGTTTAAGATGAAATAAACTGTTTCCTCCCCGAGTTGCTTTTAGTCATGGTCTTTATCAAAGCAGTATATTTTTTTTTAAAAAAAATATGCACAGCAAGGCAGCAGAATAAAGAGAGAAATGAAAAACTAAAAGAAAGTGAATAATGAGATAGAAGACATAAATCCTAACATATAAAAAACTAGTTAGAGAAACATTTCCTAATGATAAAACAAGCAGTCCACCAGGGAAACAGTGATTCTAAGTGTGTGTGTGTGTGTGTGTGTGTGTGTGTGTGAATAACATCTCAAAGTTGAGGAAGTAAAAATACAGTGCTAAAAGGAAGGAAACCAGCCATTAAAGTTGGGAACTCCAGTCCTTGAGAAAATGACTGCAGAGGAAGTCACCATGTCCCTGCCACTAAGTGTGGACAAGCAGAACATGGGGCTACACTTCAGAATCAACACAGAAACCTCATGTGCACAATGGGACCAGAAAAAAAATGTAAGTACCACAATAGGTCCTTAAGGTAGGAAGAGGCCTTAAAGATCCTTTCCCCATGTCCTAGTCTAATATATTATTTTTTCTCCAATATTTGCACTGCCAAAAATATCTAGCATGCTATGTCAAACTGAAGGACAGTGAGAGGAAAGAAAGCAACTTTCTCCTTTAACAGTGTGCTGGGACTGATTGTTATGTCAGGAGGGAAGAAGAATCAAGAAGGCAGCTTTCACCTATGTCCTGATAATTCTCGTGATCGCCACACCACGTACAGTTAACAAAAGTTAGAATATACT